GAATAACAAACGTGGTCAAATCGAGATTAAGGTGCGCACGCACGACTGTATGGGAGAATCGGTAGTTCAGTGAGTAGGATGTTGGCTCGCTAACCTTGAGGTCAGCCACAGTGGATCAGTCAGTAGGACGTTGACTAGCTAACCTGGAGGTCCCGTGTTCGTTCCCTGTCTTGGCCGAGAAAGTTTCGGATTGGGCGAAATAGTGAGTTCCCGTGTACATATTGGCGTACACGTAAAAGATCCCTTGAAAGTTGGAATTCGATGTCAGTTTTGGTTGTCCTAGCAAAATATACCCCATAGCACAATGTATGCAGGATGTCCGTCTTCTATTATTCCCGTGCATACATTGGAGTACACGTAAAACATCTCTTGGCAATTGGAAATCGATATATGAGTAGGCTGTAGTTCCGATGTCCGGGCAAAATTCCCTCATATCACAGTTCATTAGTCCAGTCGCAGCGGAACAGTATATTTTTATTGAAATTATTCGTCCGAATGCAGGAGTTTTTAACGTTGGGGTCGCTACTATGACAATTGCAACGTTGACAGACCGCGTGATCGTAATGAACAGGGAGAAAGTTCATGATTTCTATCAGTTGTCCTGATTTATAATGAAATGTATTTAAATAAAAAAATTCTTTACGCTATTCATGCTATTTAAACGCACGCAACATATTCATGAATAAATTTAAAATAAAGTGACTAGTTGTATGTAGAGACTCGATTAATTGTTCACGCATATTCATTGTCTGGTGAATAGTGGGACGTTAAACCCCATTTGATTTCATTGATGGCGGTAATAATATAATATGTGATGTATCCAAAATCTTCCCCGTTCCTCCCACACGCACTAAAGTAGCCCGGATATAGTCCTCTATGTGATAACATATCGCCCAGAATCATCTTACTTGCTATTCTCTATATCACATAGTGATGTGAAAATCTGTGATTATAAACTAAACAAAATAAATCAGAAACTGATTAAAGGTGTCACAATATTGAGTTACAACTCTTGTGATCTTTAGATGACTTTATTTCGGGTAATATCATAAGAAAACAAGCACGTGGTTTCACCATTAATATGATTGAACACTAACTCACTGATCAAATCAAATGATTCAATCATCCAACGTGTAAATTTATTAACGAGACTGATTGAATCAAGTTGTAAAAACATGGAGGCGGTGCTTCTAAATCCATTGTGAGCTGTGCTCACAACATGGCTTCTATGCTGTATAAAACGCGACCATTTTGCCATTAAATGTCATTACAAGATTTCCTCTCATACCTAATATTTTCTACAGAAACATGTCTTTTTACAATTTTCAGAGTCCAGTAAGATCTCCACAATACACCGTAAGTAATTGAAAGGTTTTGTTTGAAACAACGAAGTAAATGGAAAATAACGTTTTTCTTCTTTTTCTTCCCAAATCGTACAACTTGAAACAATTCTGATTTTATTTTCTTCAGGAAATGATGTCAGTAAACACCTTTAAACCAGTCAGATTCGATTTTCTCAGCGATGACGAAGATTCCAGTGATAGTGGTTTTGGTAGTTCTCCCGAATCTGTTTCACATTCAACTTCATGCCAGCGGTCACCAATGATAAAAGCAAAAAGGTCACTGTTTTCATACAAGCGTAAACGAGAAGAAGACGTCCAGGAATGCAAATCGTCAAAAAGGACCATGATTAATCAGCAGGTAAATACTATGAATTTTTTTATACTATACGTGTATACAAAAGTATATTTCTCTTAAACGTTTCTAATGACGAAATTGTATTGCATGTACTTTAAATAATAAATGATTTGTTATATACTTTTAGGTGGATATTAAAATGGCTTTGGAAAGAATGGAAAGCGAGCCGTGTTTAATTGGTGATGCAAGTACACAGCACAGTTTACCAACAATTGATGGAAAACATAGCGACCTCATTTCCATAGAATCTAAAACCGTGGGTCGGTTACTGCAAGGAGAATATTCTCAAGATTATACCATTATAGACTGTCGCTACCCTTACGAGTTTGATGGCGGTCACATTCAAGGAGCTATGAATATATTTACAGAGGAAGGAATTCGATCTTTTTTGGAGAACCAGAGAGCGAATGTTATATGCAAACGTCAAGTTTTAGTCTTTCATTGTGAATTTTCATCAAAAAGAGGTCCCAAATTGTAAGTTATCACACAAGTTATTCATTATAAACGTACATAAAACTTCTATACTAATGAAAATGCCAATAGCGGGACTTTGTAAATCTTCCATTATTTCATGTTTTCTCACTTTCTATTTCAGAATGAGATTGCTCAGAAGTCTAGATCGTAAAGAAAACAGTCATCGTTACCCAGAGTTGTATTATCCAGAAATTTATCTTTTAGACGGAGGTTATAAAGCTTTCTACGAATGTAACAAGGTATGTACATTTAATGTATAAACTATGTATAAAGTAATGACAAACAGACTGATTGTTGTCTCTGTACATTATATTTAAGAAAACACAATTTAAGTTCTCTTTATTTTTTATATTTTAGGCTCAATGTAATCCCCAGGCTTATCTACCAATGCTTCACGAAGACCACTCGAGTGATCTCCGCCATTTTCGTACCAGATCTAAGTCCTGGACAGCAGGTGAAAAGCGCAGTCGGTCGCGCCGAGTCGCCCAGTCGCCATACTAAATTGTTAACCTTTGTTTTTGTGATTTCTTGTTAGTTGTTATAATTTATCTAGAAGCTGATCTGTGATAATGTGATTAATTGTTTTTATCTTGTTAAAGTTTTTAAAATGTTGTTGTTATAATTATATCTATAGAATTGTATATAATATTGTTCTGTTATGTGTGGTTATATCACACGCTAATAAATTACGTTTTACAAGGATTAAAACTTTCATTTTTAATTTATACGAGAATTTCCTGGGTTAGACGTGGTCACGCGGTGAATGTAATTAGGCGCTGGGAGTGACATTTCTAGCCAAATTGTAACCGTCAGGGTATCCTTCCAATTTCGAACTTGAATAAACAGTTAAAATGTTGATTGACCATTCGCCGTAAAAAAAACAGAGAATCTATGGGAAATAGGGCTATCAAATCCTCACAATTCGGTTTGTGCATAAAATTATGACATTAAACCTTATCTCAGTTCAACTTCAAAGCTTCCAATTTCATCGAGGGAGGCCCCTTTGGTCATTGACCCTAACAAAATCCCAGAATAACAAACGTGGTCAAATCGAGATTAAGGTGCGCACGCACGACTGTATGGGAGAATCGGTAGTTCAGTGAGTAGGATGTTGGCTCGCTAACCTTGAGGTCAGCCACAGTGGATCAGTCAGTAGGACGTTGACTAGCTAACCTGGAGGTCCCGTGTTCGTTCCCTGTCTTGGCCGAGAAAGTTTCGGATTGGGCGAAATAGTGAGTTCCCGTGTACATATTGGCGTACACGTAAAAGATCCCTTGAAAGTTGGAATTCGATGTCAGTTTTGGTTGTCCTAGCAAAATATACCCCATAGCACAATGTATGCAGGATGTCCGTCTTCTATTATTCCCGTGCATACATTGGAGTACACGTAAAACATCTCTTGGCAATTGGAAATCGATATATGAGTAGGCTGTAGTTCCGATGTCCGGGCAAAATTCCCTCATATCACAGTTCATTAGTCCAGTCGCAGCGGAACAGTATATTTTTATTGAAATTATTCGTCCGAATGCAGGAGTTTTTAACGTTGGGGTCGCTACTATGACAATTGCAACGTTGACAGACCGCGTGATCGTAATGAACAGGGAGAAAGTTCATGATTTCTATCAGTTGTCCTGATTTATAATGAAATGTATTTAAATAAAAAAATTCTTTACGCTATTCATGCTATTTAAACGCACGCAACATATTCATGAATAAATTTAAAATAAAGTGACTAGTTGTCTGGTGAATAGTGGGACGTTAAACCCCATTTGATTTCATTGATGGCGGTAATAATATAATATGTGATGTATCCAAAATCTTCCCCGTTCCTCCCACACGCACTAAAGTAGCCCGGATATAGTCCTCTATGTGATAACATATCGCCCAGAATCATCTTACTTGCTATTCTCTATATCACATAGTGATGTGAAAATCTGTGATTATAAACTAAACAAAATAAATCAGAAACTGATTAAAGGTGTCACAATATTGAGTTACAACTCTTGTGATCTTTAGATGACTTTATTTCGGGTAATATCATAAGAAAACAAGCACGTGGTTTCACCATTAATATGATTGAACACTAACTCATTGATCAAATCAAATGATTCAATCATCCAACGTGTAAATTTATTAACGAGACTGATTGAATCAAGTTGTAAAAACATGGAGGCGGTGCTTCTAAATCCATTGTGAGCTGTGCTCACAACATGGCTTCTATGCTGTATAAAACGCGACCATTTTGCCCTTAAATGTCATTACAAGATTTCCTCTCATACCTAATATTTCCTACAGAAACATGTCTTTTTACAATTTTCAGAGTCCAGTAAGATCTCCACAATCCACCGTAAGTAATTGAAAGGTTTTGTTTGAAACAACGAAGTAAATGGAAAATAACGTTTTTCTTCTTTTTCTTCCCAAATCGTACAACTTGAAACAATTCTGATTTTATTTTCTTCAGGAAATGATGTCAGTAAACACCTTTAAACCAGTCAGATTCGATTTTCTCAGCGATGACGAAGATTCCAGTGATAGTGGTTTTGGTAGTTCTCCCGAATCTGTTTCACATTCAACTTCATGCCAGCGGTCACCAATGATAAAAGCAAAAAGGTCACTGTTTTCATACAAGCGTAAACGAGAAGAAGACGTCCAGGAATGCAAATCGTCAAAAAGGACCATGATTAATCAGCAGGTAAATACTATGAATTTTTTTATACTATACGTGTATACAAAAGTATATTTCTCTTAAACGTTTCTAATGACGAAATTGTATTGCATGTACTTTAAATAATAAATGATTTGTTATATACTTTTAGGTGGATATTAAAATGGCTTTGGAAAGAATGGAAAGCGAGCCGTGTTTAATTGGTGATGCAAGTACACAGCACAGTTTACCAACAATTGATGGAAAACATAGCGACCTCATTTCCATAGAATCTAAAACCGTGGGTCGGTTACTGCAAGGAGAATATTCTCAAGATTATACCATTATAGACTGTCGCTACCCTTACGAGTTTGATGGCGGTCACATTCAAGGAGCTATGAATATATTTACAGAGGAAGGAATTCGATCTTTTTTGGAGAACCAGAGAGCGAATGTTATATGTAAACGTCAAGTTTTAGTCTTTCATTGTGAATTTTCATCAAAAAGAGGTCCCAAATTGTAAGTTATCACACAAGTTATTCATTATAAACGTACATAAAACTTCTATACTAATGAAAATGCCAATAGCGGGACTTTGTAAATCTTCCATTATTTCATGTTTTCTCACTTTCTATTTCAGAATGAGATTGCTCAGAAGTCTAGATCGTAAAGAAAACAGTCATCGTTACCCAGAGTTGTATTATCCAGAAATTTATCTTTTAGACGGAGGTTATAAAGCTTTCTACGAATGTAACAAGGTATGTACATTTAATGTATAAACTATGTATAAAGTAATGACAAACAGACTGATTGTTGTCTCTGTACATTATATTTAAGAAAACACAATTTAAGTTCTCTTTATTTTTTATATTTTAGGCTCAATGTAATCCCCAGGCTTATCTACCAATGCTTCACGAAGACCACTCGAGTGATCTCCGCCATTTTCGTACCAGATCTAAGTCCTGGACAGCAGGTGAAAAGCGCAGTCGGTCGCGCCGAGTCGCCCAGTCGCCATACTAAATTGTTAACCTTTGTTTTGTGATTTCTTGTTAGTTGTTATAATTTATCTAGAAGCTGATCTGTGATAATGTGATTAATTGTTTTTATCTTGTTAAAGTTTTTAAAATGTTGTTGTTATAATTATATCTATAGAATATTGTTCTGTTATGTGTGGTTATATCACACGCTAATAAATTACGTTTTACAAGGATTAAAACTTTCATTTTTAATTTATACGAGAATTTCCTGGGTTAGACGTGGTCACGCGGTGAATGTAATTAGGCGCTGGGAGTGACATTTCTAGCCAAATTGTAACCGTCAGGGTATCCTTCCAATTTCGAACTTGAATAAACAGTTAAAATGTTGATTGACCATTCGCCGTAAAAAAAACAGCGAATCTATGGGAAATAGGGCTATTAAATCCTCACAACTCGGTTTGTGCATAAAATTATGACATTAAACCTTATCTCAGTTCAACTTCAAAGCCTCCAATTTCATCGAGGGAGGCCCCTTTGGTCATTGACCCTAACAAAATCCCAGAATAACGAACGTGGTCAAATCGAGATTAAGGTGCGCACGCACGACTGTATGGGAGAATCGGTGGTTCAGTGAGTAGGATGTTGGCTCGCTAACCTTGAGGCCAGCCACAGTGGATCAGTCAGTAGGACGTTGACTAGCTAACCTGGAGGTCCCGTGTTCGTTCCCTGTCTTGGCCGAGAAAGTTTCGGATTGGGCGAAATAGTGAGTTCCCGTGTACATATTGGCGTACACGTATTGGGTAAACCCCTTACTTCGATTTTAAATCGATGTTAACGATTGTGAGTCTCAATTTATATTTCACAATTGTCCTTCAGTTAATATCCAAACACGTAATTTATTCCTTTTGATATATGCTGATAAGTTCATATTTTCAGAAACTATTGAAGGCTTTCAAAGACTTTTAAATTCTTTTTACAATTATACTCAGAAATCGAATATGTCTGTTAACACTAATAAGACAAAAATTATGATTTTTAGAAATGGGGGAAGGATCAAAGCCACTGAGTCCTGGACCTTTAATAACGATAAAGTTTAGGATATGATGGAACAGTGAGATACAGTTTACATAATGGCGTTCAAGATGCCTTGAACGTTGGAATTCGATAAAAGTTTTGGCCGTAGTGCCGCTGTCCAGGCAAAATATACCACCATAGAACAATGTATGACGTATGTCCATCTCCTGTTATTCCCGTGCACACATTGGCGTACACGTTAAAGATCTCTTGGCAGTTGGAAATCGATATACGAGTAGGTCGTAGTTCCGCTGTCGGGGCAAAATTCCCTCAAAGCCCCGTGTTCGTTCCTTGTCTTGGCCGAGAAAGTTTCGGATGTGGCGAAACAGTGAGTTCCCGTGTACATATTGGCGTACACGTAAAAGATCCCTTGAAAGTTGGAATTCGATGTCAGTTTTGGTTGTCCTAGCAAAATATACCCCGTAGCACAATGTATGAAGGATGTCCGTCTTCTATTATTCCCGTACATACATTGGAGTACACGTAAAAGATCTCTTGGCAATTGGAAATCGATATATGAGTAGTCCGTAGTTCCGCTGTCCGGGCAGAATTCCCTCATATCACAGTTCATTAGTCCAGTCGCAGCGGAACAGTATATTTTTATTGAAATTATTCGTCCGAATGCAGGAGTTTTTAACGTTGGGGTCGCTACTATGACAATTGCAACGTTGACAAACCGCGTGATCGTAATGAACAGGGAGAAAGTTCATGATTTCTATCAATTGTCCTGATTTATAATGAAATGTATTTAATAAAAAAAACTGTAAGCTATTCATGCTATTTAAACGCACGCAACATATTCATGAATAAATTTAAAATAAAGTGACTAGTTGTATGTAGAGACTCGATTAATTGTTCACGCATATTCATTGTCTGGTGAATAGTGGGACGTTAAACCCCATTTGATTTCATTGATGGCGGTAATAATATAATATGTGATGTATCCAAAATCTTCCCCGTTCCTCCCACACGCACTAAAGTAGCCCGGATATAGTCCTCTATGTGATAACATATCGCCCAGAATCATCTTACTTGCTATTCTCTATATCACATAGTGATGTGAAAATCTGTGATTATGAACTAAACAAAATAAATCAGAAACTGATTAAAGGTGTCACAATATTGAGTTACAACTCTTGTGATCTTGAGATGAGTTTATTTCGGGTAATATCATAAGAAAACAAGCACGTGGTTTCACCATTAATATGATTGAACACTAACTCACTGATCAAATCAAATGATTCAATCATCCAACGTGTAAATTTATTAACGAGACTGATTGAATCAAGTTGTAAAAACATGGAGGCGGTGCTTCTAAATCCATTGTGAGCTGTGCTCACAACATGGCTTCTATGCTGTATAAAACGCGACCATTTTGCCCTTAAATGCCATTACAAGATTTCCTCTCATACCTAATATTTTCTACAGAAACATGTCTTTTTACAATTTTCAGAGTCCAGTAAGATCTCCACAATCCACCGTAAGTAATTGAAAGGTTTTGTTTGAAACAACGAAGTAAATGGAAAATAACGTTTTCCTTCTTTTTCTTCCCAAATCGTACAACTTGAAACAATTCTGATTTTATTTTCTTCAGGAAATGATGTCAGTAAACACCTTTAAACCAGTCAGATTCGATTTTCTCAGCGATGACGAAGATTCCAGTGATAGTGGTTTTGGTAGTTCTCCCGAATCTGTTTCACATTCAACTTCATGCCAGCAGTCACCAATGATAAAAGCAAAAAGGTCACTGTTTTCATACAAGCGTAAACGAGAAGAAGACGTCCAGGAATGCAAATCGTCAAAAAGGACCATGATTAATCAGCAGGTAAATACTATGAATTTTTTATACTATACGTGTATACAAAAGTATATTTCTCTTAAACGTTTCTAATGACGAAATTGTATTGCATGTACTTTAAATAATAAATGATTTGTTATATACTTTTAGGTGGATATTAAAATGGCTTTGGAAAGAATAGAAAGCGAGCCGTGTTTAATTGGTGATGCAAGTACACAGCACAGTTTACCAACAATTGATGGAAAACATAGCGACCTCATTTCCATAGAATCTAAAACCGTGGGTCGGTTACTGCAAGGAGAATATTCTCAAGATTATACCATTATAGACTGTCGCTACCCTTACGAGTTTGATGGCGGTCACATTCAAGGAGCTATGAATATATTTACAGAGGAAGGAATTCGATCTTTTTTGGAGAACCAGAGAGCGAATGTTATATGCAAACGTCAAGTTTTAGTCTTTCATTGTGAATTTTCATCAAAAAGAGGTCCCAAATTGTAAGTTATCACACAAGTTATTCATTATAAACGTACATAAAACTTCTATACTAATGAAAATGCCAATAGCGGGACTTTGTAAATCTTCCATTATTTCATGTTTTCTCACATTCTATTTCAGAATGAGATTGCTCAGAAGTCTAGATCGTAAAGAAAACAGTCATCGTTACCCAGAGTTGTATTATCCAGAAATTTATCTTTTAGACGGAGGTTATAAAGCTTTCTACGAATGTAACAAGGTATGTACATTTAATGTATAAACTATGTATAAAGTAATGACAAACAGACTGATTGTTGTCTCTGTACATTATATTTAAGAAAACACAATTTAAGTTCTCTTTATTTTTTATATTTTAGGCTCAATGTAATCCCCAGGCTTATCTACCAATGCTTCACGAAGACCACTGGAGTGATCTCCGCCATTTTCGTACCAGATCTAAGTCCTGGACAGCAGGTGAAAAGCGCAGTCGGTCGCGCCGAGTCGCCATACTAAATTGTTAACCTTTGTTTTTGTGATTTCTTGTTAGTTGTTATAATTTATCTAGATCTGTGATAATGTGATTAATTGTTTTTATCTTGTTAAAGTTTTTAAAATGTTGTTGTTATAATTATATCTATAGAATTGTATATAATATTGTTCTGTTATGTGTGGTTATATCACACGCTAATAAATTATGTTTTAGAATGATTTCAATTCATACGAGAATTTGTTGAACTAGAAGGATCCTAATGTAGCTGTTTTGATCACTGACGTACATGGTCACGCGTTGAATGGAACTTGACTTTGATTGTGACATTTCCAGCCAACTTGTAACTGTGGAGAATTTAAACGAACTATTGACAGATCGTTTAATCCCCACAACTCATTTACTCTCGGTTTGTGCAGAAATGTAGGACACTAAATCTTATCTCAGTTCAAGTCTTACAATTCCATCGAGAGAGGCTTCTTCCGTCCTTGAACCGAACAAAAATCCACGGAAACAATCTGAACACATCACTGCTAATTATTCTTCGCGACGGCAAGAATTATCCACACTTATCGCGTCTTTGAATTATAGAAACATCTTTTACAATTTTTAGTCTTGGGCATCCACGCGATCATTCCATAAGATTAAACGCTATAATGTCGATAGTAAATGGAAAATAACGTTTTTCTTCTTTTTCTTCCCAAATCGTAAAACTTGAAACAATTCTGATTTTATTTTCTTCAGGAAATGATGTCAGTAAACACCTTTAAACCAGTCAGATTCGATTTTCTCAGCGATGACGAAGATTCCAGTGATTGTGGTTTTGGTAGTTCTCCCGAATCTGTTTCACATTCAACTTCATGCCAGACGTCACCAATGATAAAAGCAAAAAGGTCACTGTTTTCATACAAGCGTAAACGAGAAGAAGACGTCCAGGAATGCAAATCGTCAAAAAGGACCATGATTAATCAGCAGGTAAATACTATGAATTTTTTATACTATACGTGTATACAAAAGTATATTTCTCTTAAACGTTTCTAATGACGAAATTGTATTGCATGTACTTTAAATAATAAATGATTTGTTATATACTTTTAGGTGGATATTAAAATGGCTTTGGAAAGAATGGAAAGCGAGCCGTGTTTAATTGGTGATGCAAGTACACAACACAGTTTACCAACAATTGATGGAAAACACAGCGACCTCA